GCACCTAGCGCTCCTCTGTCACTGTCGTCCACCTTTATGCTTTTTGACATGTTTCTTAATAAAAGGAGAGATAGAAAATGAGAAAGGTTGAAATAAGTCTAGGGACTACAAGCAACAGAAAATGAAAACAAACAAAAAAGCCACATGGGGCTAGCACATTATAATCACATACACATGATTATATCCCCTGTGGAACAGAAGCCATAAAAACACTTCTGAAGATAAAGCCTTTACAGTGTTGGGTTGCCGCATCCCAAAGAGTGGCTCCAAGAAGAGCGGACTAATGCACGCCACACGGCGGAGCCCGAAGGTCCCCGACGCCACCAGAATAGTCTTAAAGTCAGCATGGACCAGAAGCCCGGCCATGAGGTGGTTGGTCATTGGTCAGCGCCCCCAGTCTTTCTTCTCACCACATAGCCCCCGTGGGCAGCGCCCGACACACTGACCTAATCCCGGGATCACCTGTCCTGCTCCTTCCTTGTCAACGGTGCCCATGGTGAGTGGACGTGCTCACTGACCTTGTGTTCACCTTGTTGGCTGTGCCGCGCTGCTGCTCTTCTGGGAGTGGGGGAAGGAAGGAAGGCAGCCCTGCCTGATTGTTAGCAGATGTTATGACTGTGAAAACCCGTTCCCACCTTTTGTCGACCTCTTTTTTTTTCCCAGCCTGCAGTATAATTGACACATAGGAATTGTGTTTACTAGTGGAGTATAACTTGACATCTTGATATATGGGTACATTGTGAAAACATCACAACAGTCGAGTCAGTTAACATATCTACCACCTCCCCTCGCTACCATTTCCTCTCTTAGCAGATTTCAAGTACACAATACTTGTTGTCACATTTGCTGAACATAGTAGCTTAGTCACCACAGAACTGCAGAACTGACTCCGCTCACACAGCTGACACTGCACATTTTGAGTAGCATCTCCTTATTTTCTCCCTGCTGTCCTTCACCATGGCAACCATCATTCTCCTCTCTGCTGCTGAGAGCTTGACTTTTTTTTTTTTAAGATTTCATTTATTTTTGCATAGGAGAACTGGGGTGCAGGCCAGAGGTGCAGCAGTGAGAGGATTCACCAGATACTGTGGGGAGCAGAACAGATGGATTTACTGAAATGCACTGCTGAGGGGAGCAGCAGGGAGACAGGAGAGGCCTACTGCGCCGGGTGGGTCAGCTCCCTGGCCGGGGATGGAGCTAGGGTCATTGTGGTGGTATTGTATCTACTGTATTGCAGTGGTTGTATCTGTGTGCATGGCTTGTTCACTTAACAATAGTATTCTCCAGGTTTCCCCATTTGCCACAAACAGCAGGATTTCCTTTTGTAGCCCGAAGATTAGTCTGGTATGTGTCTGTGTGGATCCACTTAAGTTCTTTCCCAAGTGAAGAACAGTGCAGTGAACACGGAGGTGCAGAGATCTCTTTGAATCCAGATTCTAGTTACGTTAGATACAGAAATGGGCTTGCTGGGTCCTATGGTTGTCCTTTAATTTTGTGAGGGCCCTCCATGTTGTTTTACATAACATCCACATCAGTATATAGTACCCCCAGTTTGTCCGTGCCACTTGGGTAGTTTATGTAAGAAAAATAAACATATGTAGTATACTTTTAAAAAATGTGTTCATCATAAATCAGGGTATTAATATAAAAATCTAATAGTAAATTTAATCTAAAACTAGCAGGAAACAGAACACTTATCTCAGGTATGAAAGAAACATAAGGACTAAAACAAAACAAAAAGATGTTTCAGAAATGCCCTGACTGACCAGCGGGTTTGGCACAGCCTCCCCACCTCGAATCCTGTCCCAGCCCTTATGATCACTGACAGAGGCAGCTTAAATGATCAGATCTTGATTAAGGACCCCAAATCAACACACCGACACCAGAGATGTCGCTGTGTTTTTGACCTCCAGAGGGTCGAAAGGACCCTCGAGAGGACAGTGGAGCATCAGCCTCACAGCCATAAAAACAGGAAAATAAATTAGTATAGCTGCTCACCAGAGGCTGACTCTTGACTCACCGGAAGTTCAACTCCCATACCAAAAGGCAGCACTGGGCTGAGCTTTGCCAGGGTGTTGCTCCCTGGCGGCCACCTGTTCACATGCTACGGTGAACAGCAGGCTCCTAAGAGCCAAATTTCACAACCCAGAAGCACTTGTCTGCAATGTGCTTCTGAGGGGAGGGGAGACCTCCGAATCTGAGCCGAGCCTCTCCTCAGCGTCAGGCTAGCGGGGTTCCTCGGGGCCTATGTTCTGGGAGGGCCAGGGAAACCGCCCTCCCGTTGTGTGTCAGATGTCATGGCTGCGTGTTGGCCTTGTGCCCTGTGCTGTGTAGCAGGCCAGAGTCCCTCACCCCGGCTCACGGCCCCACCGCGGCAGAACGTGACTTCCTCGGGACAGACCGGCCGGCCCTCAAGGCCCGGGTGCGCTGCGGATAACGAGAGTAAACAAGCCGGGAGGCCCCGCCAGGCCTGCGGCTCTCAGACGTGCTTTTCCGAGGTGGGCCTGCCCCGCCCGTGACAGAAACACCACACCGGCTCTGCCCGCCAGAGGAACGGCAGGCACGCAGCAGCCCTGGCCGGTGTGTGGGAGCACAAGGCCGGTGTGTGGGAGCACAAGCCGCAGACGCTGGGTCCCCACCTGCAAAGCCGGCTCGGCGGCGCTCTGAGCGGAGGTGTGGTCCCGCCGCGAGGCGCCCATCGCCTGCCCCACAAACGCGACAGCCTCTTTTAACGCTGTGACTGCACCTCCATAAAATCCGGGGTGTGGGTTCCAGACACCCCTGCCGGCACCTGAATCCCATTTGCTAACCAAGTGATCACCAGTGCTGGCTGCAGGCTCCTGGGGCTTTTACAAACGGCTGATGCTGGAGTTCTCCCCAGAAACTCCAGTGTCAGTGCTGCAAGCAGGCCTGGGCACCCCTTTTGCTGGAAGCAGCCAGTGGTGCCACGCCATGGGTGCCACCACCCTGGGGCCAGGCCTCTGGCAGCCAGTCTATGCCCTGTGCTTACTGGTGCCGCCAAGGCCTCCAGATGTAGCGGAAGGGGTGGCGAGACCCCACGCCCCTGCCTGGCCCTGGACCAGAATCTGTGACCATGGAGGATGGCCTAGGAAGCCATTCCCACAGAGAGCGTAGAAAGGATACGTCCCGGCCTCTGCTGGGCCCATATTTAACGTGGCTAATCAGAACCAGCGCAGGGGATCAGCACTCAGCGTCTTTACCTGGAACTCAAGCCCAGGTGATGCGCAGCCTGGTTTCTTCTTGAGGTGGCCGAGCACTGGCCTCACTCTGCATTTCTGCTCTCCTCCCAGCCTAGACCTCCCAGAGAGCCTCTCCTCCCCTGCCTGGTGGCTATGCCCTGCTCTGCAGCAGCGGGAACCCTTCCCAGTTCTGCAGCAGTTTCAGAGAGATTAGTTGCACATACCGTGAGTCCTCCCTTACTCATTTGCTGGCTCCGGCAGTGTTTTGAAAGAACCGAATGCTAAGACTGCTTATCCGTGGGCTTTTGAGTAATGGTGTGTTTATCTCAGAATCCTGGCCTAAGTGGTAATTGTATCACTCCCTGTGGGAGCAGGAAGGCAAGACGCTTGTGGTGCTTGGGGTCGGTGCTGCCTGCCCACCACAAGCCAATGAGTCTGGTGCCACTGTTCTAAGTTAGTGGGCTTTGGACACTCAGCTGAGAGAACTTGTGAAGACCTGCACCCATCAGCAAACACGGGAGCATAATTCCTTAGGCGTGAATGCCTGGTGCTCTGCAGGTGAGAGTCTGGCCCTGCCCTGCAGGAGGCCCAGAGGAGAGGATGCTCTGCAGCATGGAGAACCCCATCTGTCATACGGCTGCTTGTCACTCGCAGGTTTGGTTCCACCCAGCAGGCCTCAGTGTCCTGACTCCTGACGTGTCCCGGGACCAGTGATAAAGAGAACATCAGGCTCCACAGCCTCGGGGAGCCCACAGTCTGGAAGGGGATGCAGGCTCTTAATAGGCACCTGAAACACATGGGCATGACAAAGGTTCTCACAAGGAGTTTTGGGGGTGGGAAAGAAGGGCCCCTTGTGGAGACTTAGCTCCCAAGGAGGTGAGCAGGAAAGAGGGAAATATGTGGAATTTTTGAGGGTGCTTTGAAGAACTAGAAGTGCGAGGAACCTGTTCCGACAGACAGAGTTGACCCCATTCTCACTGACAGCCAGTGAGGACTCTGAATCACAAATGCAGGGCTCCCGCTGTTCGAAAGTAGACTGCTCCTATTGGTTGGATTTGGTGGGTTACCTTTGGGCTCTGGGAGTGCTCTCTCTGTTAGTGTACGTGGAACATTTTCTTTAATGTTATCAGACCCAAACAACATCCTCTCAGATCATACCAAATAGGAATGTTGTGCTTTGGGCCAGCAGGGAGAGCAGAAAGATCCCCAGCAATCCAAGCAGGTGGAGGCAGGCCAAGTGGGGGGGTAAGTATAGGTCTTGATCACTTCAGCGTCCATTGCTGGGCCTCTGGACGGCTTCCTGGATTCACCCTTCAAATTCACTGAAGGTCATGGTCTAATATGGTTCATTGGCAGTTGCTCCAAAAACATGTTACAGTTTGTGGTCCTTCTCCAGGACACTGCATGGAGCCAGAATAACTGTACCCAAAAGTACATGCTCTGGATGAGGAATGCCGCACCTCCCGCTGGAGGGATACCTAGAAAGTGGGAGCCTTGGTGACCTCGGAGAGGGTGGGCCTCTCCCAAGCACCCCAGGGCTGTTTGGGCTGGTTCTGTGCACTCTATTGTGTGTCTATGGCCTGTTCGGACAAGTTTAAAAGACAACTAAGCAGACACACTTACTCTATGGCATAATTAAGTTGTGTGTCAGTATTTAAGTGATCTAAGTTATATTAAATGATCCATTGATATAACAATGACAGCAATAATTGCATAAAAGCCTGAGAAAAAAAACATGAGAGTGCAGAAGTATGATTGTTTTTTTCCCCTCTATAAATCTGGCCTTGTTTTTTCTTTCAGTTTGCTGCTCACCTTGTGAAAATGAAATACCCCAGGGTCTGTCTTCTTGATGGTGGTATTAACAAGCTCAAGCCGACAGGTCTGCTCACCGTGCCTTCTCCTCAGATATGAAGACCAGGAGAGTGACAGGCACACGGGGGCATCACTGGCACAACCCCCCACAGCCTCACCCCATAGACACAACCACCCAGATTGTTGCATTTCTCTCAACTTTGTCATGAGACACATGTCTAATCTCATGATCCAGGCGCAAGCTTGACTGTGCATGTACTGCTGAAAGAATGTTCTTAACAGTGAAATCAGATCATGAATTCTCACCACACAGCGACACAAAGCCAGAGGAATTCAGCTGACAAGGCAGATTTTGCATTATCAAGAAATCTCAGTTGCACTGAACAGGCAGTCCTGACAAAGGTACCATTTAGAACATAAAATTTGGGCTGAAAACCTTCTTTTCTCGATAATGAAAAGGACAAAGCTATTCACAGTACATTCCTATTAAGTAAATGTTTCATTTGGTAAAACTCATTTTTGGTCTAGATAAGTTATCCACTCCCTTCCCTGTGTGCATGCGTGCTTGTGAATGTGTGTGTGTATCTAACTGGAGGGGAAATTAACCTACATTATCCTTTTGAAGAAAGCAATAATTGCCTGTTCCAGAAAAAAAAAGCCAGAAGCTATTGATGATAGAATATTTGTTCATCTCCCATGGTAAGAGACCCAAAATGAGAGTGACTGAAGAAGCTAGAGTGAACATTTCTTATCCACGGATGCATGCGAGGTCAGCCCAGGGCTCCTGTACGTTTCTGTGGCCTTAAAGAAGTCAGGCGTCATTCACCCTCAACAGTGACTTCGTCCTCATGGGTCAAGGTGGCTTCTCAGCTCCCACCATCGGATCAGCAATTTAGAAGGAAGGGAATGAAAAAAGTGGGCAGGGGTCGAGATGGAAACAGGAAGGACTGGAAAGAGAAAAATAAGGAAGAAGGAAGGATGTGCTCCTTCTCTCCAGGGTTACAAGCCGAAGTTGTATGCGTGACTTCTGCTTACGCACCTCTGGCCGGCGCTCAGTACATGACCACACTAGAGAGATGCAGACCTAGGAGTGAACCTCTGGTCAGAAGGCCATTTACCCAGCTAAAGTCTCGTTACGCCCTGGGAAGAGGAGAGCACTCATTGGGGAACAGCTAACACCTCTGCACATTATTCTGAAAATTAAGTACTATATTTCATTGAACCTAAGACTTGTCACAAGTGTATGTGCCTACAAAAAAAGGAAAAATACAGCTGAATGAACTGTGGTGTCAGCAATACAGACCTGAGAAAGCGTGCCTGTTAGAATTCTTGTAGTACAGTGCGTCTTTTGACGATCTTTAGTCTTGTTTTAACTAAAAAATACTCTTTCACTTTAATGCATTCCTCTTCGGGGGAAAACTACCTTAGCAGGATGTCACAATTCCACTTTCTGGGCTGTGGCTTCATTATTGCTGTTCGTTTTGTGCTTTTTATCTTTTTTTTTTTCAAGGTGTCACTTCCATACCATAAAATGTACCCTTTTAAAAGGTACAATTCAGTTGCTTTTAGGTTCTTGTGCAGTCATCTGCAACCTAATTCCAGAACAGTTTGGCCACCCAAAATAGAAATCCCGTCCCTGCTAGCAGTCATTCCCCAGAAACCTTCTCCAGGGCTCCATTTTTGTGCAGGAAGAGAGATAGGTATCCAGTTCCAATCCATGCACGAGGAGATCTGTGTCGCTCTGTGCCTTTTGCTCAAGGATAGCCAGTCATTCACTCACACACACGACCCCCTTGTGATTCTGTGGCAGCTCGGTCTTCCCTGTGCTGGGCAGCACAGAAAGATGGAATCTAGCAAAGCATTCCATTCATACTTCTAATAATAGACTTACTACTTCAGTTTGCAATTATCTGTGCACATTTGGGCCCCATGCTAGATTATGGACTCCTTTAAGGCCAGAGACCATCATTTCTCCTGCTTGTTATCTTCAGAAAACCACCCACTAGAGATGCTTGACAAGTGAAAAAAGTAAATTGAAACTGTAGTGTTAGAAGTTTAGAATATATGTGAGTAGGAAAAAAATGAGAACAACCTGGGTAAATTTTTTCAAATGCTAGGCTTATCCATTACCTGATACTTAATAAACTGAATTCTCAGTTTGCTGAGTGAAGAATTTCCAGTGTTCTGTTCAGCATTAAGATTCTCAAATTCTAGAAGTTGAAACAGGTAACTTCTAACAACTATAGCTCACCAAGTCACATCGCCTTTCTGAAATGTAAACACGCTAGATTTTAAATGAATGTTAAAATGTTTATTACTTAACCAAGATTGAGAGAAATAGAATGTCTTACCAGATAGGAAGTGGCTGGGCCTGTAGAACATCGGAGGTCAGTAGAGCCCTAGGAACAGGGCTTTTACCATGCACACAGGGGTCAAGGACACAGTCACGGCCTTCCAGTAGGAAACTAGTGTTCAGACAGCCATACAAAGTGACAAAACAAACCAATGCATGGCTCCATGGAACAATTAGCAGTAACTTCCCACCAAATCACGGATGACGGGAGATTTTCAGGGCCCAGAATTCTGAGTGAGGAGAGACCACACTGACAGAGGCGTTTGGAGGCGTCAATGGAAAGACTGGGGTAAGTTGCCAAGTGTGAACTGACTTTAGGCACATGTCCATCTGCCTACTTAAAAACGATATCAGTGTGTTGCATCAGGCTTTTGGAATGCATAGATGGTACCATATCTTTGTTCAACTCCTCTATTTCCTCCTACAAATAGTTGCCAGAAAATACTTCTGTAGAGATTAATATCAAAAAGAGAGACGGTCTCGGAGAAGGAGCTCTTGTAGGAGTCTCACCGCTAAGCTCCGCCGTCAGAGGAAGATTGCCGGCCCACTCTAGTCATCGGAGGCTTTGCTTTACCAGCGTCCTAAGCAGTCCTCACGGTATGTGTTCCCTCGGGCTCTACCAGGCCTCTTGTTAGCCAATGCATGCATTATTCTTGACATTCATGAAACCAGAGTAGAGGCAAAACAATAAATCTCTGAGTTTTTAAGTTTGGCTGTTCCATCTTAAGATCAATTGCCAACTTGGACCTCATGCAGAAAAGCAATAGGGACATGTTAACAAGCCTGGCCGTGACCCTGAGCAGTCACGCCCGACTCAGTTCCCAGTCCACTTTTAACCCATGTCATATTAGAAATAGACCACATGGAAAATAAGCTATTTTAAAAGGTAGCCATTTTTTTTAAGTTGCTCGTATTTATATCTTCTGAGTAGTTTTCTGGTTGATGTCTTTTCACATGGGGACTAAACTTGGACCTCAGCAAGCCCAGTGTTCCGTTGATGGATTGTGCTGCCCGCAGCGTCCACTGGACTGTCAGGCCATCTGTCCCCTCTTGGGCTGTCTTTCTTCAGCCGCCTACTTCATGCCTTCCCGAGGGCCCATCTGCACCGCACTGTCTGTGGCATCTCAGTGGCGTGCCTGTGTCCTGATGCTCACTCTGAGCACTGAGCACTGCCCAGAGGGAACCGAGCATTGTGCATTCCAGGGTCTTACGCATTAATCCTCAGGGTGGCGGAGGCTAAAGCACTGTCCTGTCTGGGCTTAAGACTAATCTTGGCGCTGTAACAAATGCAGTCCAAACATAAGATCAGAATCTAAATGTTGCTTCCTGCCACACTGAAAGACCCAGCTCTTGAAATATCTCCCATTGTATGTCTGTGGCTGTTAAACAACAGCTCATGGCTTATACCATTTGTCTTTGAAACTGGAACATGCGATCTCTAGGTAAAGCAATAAAACCCGCACAAGAGATGCAGAGGAGACCTTTTCTCATCAATACTGGAAACTTATATTCGTTTCCATTAACTTTTTGTCACCTCTATTAACATACTTTGCAGTCCTTTCAGGGAGAATAACTTAGTATGTTAAGGCTGGTAATGAGCTGGAACTGGGTCGGCCCTCTGTTGGGAGGGCCAAATGTGCCCATTTAGTGCCAAGTCCACATCAGCAGCTGAAAACTGACTACTGTACACACACTGACACCATAGACGTAGACACACGCCACGAAACCTGCCTGGCTTTTTATCCTTTTCACTTGAAAGTCAGTATGTACCATCAAACCACTGATTTTTACCATCCTATGTTGCCATGGAGGGAGAAGGAAATTTAAAGAGCATCTAATGCAAACATCATTGTTCAAAACAGTAAGCACAGTGACTGAGCTTGCAGAAATCACACAACTAGTAAAAGACAAATCTAAAATTGCATCTCTGCACTCCTGTTGTCCTTCGTCACTCACGTATGGCAACGTGCGGGCACAGGACCAGCAGCTGACTAACGCCAGGCCCACCCTGACCACATGAGCACCTCACTCTGAGCCATTTCCTGCTCACCAGGGTCTCTGGGCCCATCCTCCCCACCCCCACCCCCAGATGCCCTCCTGAGCAACTCCCGTCAATAGATGAGATCCGTTTCACAGATGTATGGGTTTGCCTCTTTGTGGCAAGGCGTGTAGGTGGGGGAGTTATCACAAAATACAGATTTAGAGCTAGGAGTTTAGTTTGAGTAATTTACTTTTCCAAATTCATCTGATAGAGTTCAGTATTAAACATATTTTAGCCCTGCAGTATAGTGGACTATAGATTCTTCACAAACTGTGGTTTATTCTCATTTTGTAGCAAGATTCTTTTTCATATCAGTGTGCTACACTGTTAATGTCAGATACTCGTTTATATTTGAGTCATCATCTTGCCCCTAAAAAGAAGCAAGAGAGGAAAGTTCACTGGTGATGAGGTCATTTCTTTTCAACTTGTCTACTTTTTATATTAATATGAATCCTAAACAGATTGAATCTAGCAGCATCCTAGGTGATAGAGATAGGCAAGTTCCAGTTTCAGAAATAACCATACTACATTTATCTGGCTAACTAACATTTTTCAATACATATTACACAGAAAATGAACTGATGGGATATTTAAACATGTTCCAGAAGTGTATACGTTAAGTGAATGAAGTTATTAAAAGGAGGTAATTTAGTCAATAATTATATCTGAAGTCACTTATGTCAATATGAATTCTAGAAATGCCATTTTAACATGAATCCTATGCCACATTTATAACAATTTTTAAAACCTTGGCTGTAACTTCCAGAAGTTACAGAAAGCAAGATGTTTCCTCTTGTTCAGAAACTGCCTCAGAAGATGACAGTATCTCAGCAGAAATTGGCTCTAGTAAATGCCCTATAAATAACTAATTGCATGATGTTCTGAAATGAATTTAAAACAGCCCCTTTTGATTAAGTGAAGTAACATCAAACTTCATTTTAAATTTCATTATTATCAACAAAATTCTATGAAATCAAAAAAGATAAATGAATGAATGAAGAAATAAATTGTTGCAATTAGTTAATGCTTTTCATTGGCCTGTCCTGCTCAGGACATTAAGTGGGCCTTTGAAAAAGTGGTAGGCGTTGATTATAGACAGTGACTGAAATTTCCTAAGAGATTATTACTGGGTATGTATTTGATTACCAGCTGGAACAAAAGGATGATTTTTAGGATCAGAACAAAGTGACTAAGGAAGTATCTGGTGCAAAGCAGTTGTGTAGAAATAACTAAATGAAAAAGTACCATGGAAAGGACCCTGTTGAACAGCTCAAAGGGCGCCACTGCAGGCCTGGGCCACCCTCCTGCCGGCCCGCTCGGGCTCTGGATTTCCACAAGTGACTCGCCACAGCCAGGATCGGGTGGCTCCTCCTCCCTGACACCGCGTCTGCTAGTGCCATGTGGAGTTTTTGTTACCCCAGCACTTGGGAGACAGGAATGAGGAAGACCTAGCTGGCCATTGTGTCCTGCTACGGCTGAGAGAATGAACTTTCTCAAGGATCTTCCATTCACCACACTAAACACTCTTTAGCCCGCCAGAACTTTGTAAATCTGGCTTCATGCTCCACTATCAGCACCGCTTAGTAAAGGCTGTCTACAGAGCAGCCCGACTCCTGTCACAGCTGAACCTCCAGGGGCCTCAGAATGAGAAATGTTTCAGGATGTCAGTGCTCTACATTCAGTGTCAGCTGTCAAAAGATCACCCCAAGAGAAACAATACTGGTTTCAGAAAGAGGAGTGAGGAGCCAGTGGAGTTTCCCTCCTTAAGGATCACTGAGTAAAGGGCACTGGCTGGAATGGGGCTGGGCCGGGCCCCAGTGCCACTCTCCGACTCGCACCCTCGCGCACCCACAGGCCAGCCGTGGCTCTGCCTGCTAGAGCGACGCTTTCCAGGCAGGACCCCTTTCAGATTTCTCCTTGTTTTATCACTACCCATCCCCTAACCCAGTTTTACCACATAAAACACCCTCTTTTTACACTGATCTAAATTCAGCCCTGATAAAATCTGGCCGTTTCAGCTTCACCAATAACCATCCTGGCCTAGATGAGAGATTAGCTAGCTTCCTTTCCATCCACTCTTCCCTTCAGCTTTATCTCCCGCTCCTCTTTTGCTCCCTCCTCAACTTCAAAGCAGCTTTGTGGTTTGCCTCACAGAAAATCAATGGCCGGGAGATGAAAAGGCTCTCTTGTTTATCTGCCTGGCCCACTGAAGGTCATTCCGCTCAGGAGCGCTGTGTGCAGCCAGCGACAGCCGCCCTCCTTGCGGGGGACAGAGGCGGGGGAGCATTGTGCAGCAAAGCCTTCAGTAGAAGCAGGTGGGCCCACTCTGTGGGCAGGGGCATGGCAGACAATCAGCAGAGCTCAGGGCTGTGCTTGGAGGATAAACACCAGGTGTTTTCAAATGTGACTCCGACTTACATTAAAAAGCTATATCTGGACCTGTTCTGCAGTAAAAACTATAAAGTTCGCCACATTCTCTGGTAGGTGCCGGAGAAGTGATTTGCAAGTAATAGGCTTTAAGAATTAGGATGAATAGAAGGCACTAACAAGTGTCCTGCTGAGTAGCTCACTGAACACAGAGTGACATGTCTTCCTGCTGCAAATGCGGCTGGGCCTGAGCCAGGTCAGTCATGGACCCTAATGAGCACTCCGCCTTCGTCTAGTCCCAGGCCCTTCCTTGAACCAGTGTTGGGAGAAGAAACAAACAATGCCTGTACATTCCCAGTGCACTGAAGTCCAAGGTGGCTTCCTCAGACCCCCTACATGTTTGTGTGACAGTGTTCATCCTGCCTCTGTTGTGCAGCTGGCAAGATACGTCAGGGAGTAAAATGTTCATAATGTTGCAACGCTGGAAAACCAGTTGCCCTCCCCACCACCAAATTCCCCAGGTAAAATCTACATGCCAGGGATAACAAGTGCCAAGTAAAGGACAATTTCAGACTGGGACAGTGGTCATGGCCTCCAGTCCCGTGTTGTTAAACCTGGGTCAAAGCCCAAACTTATATTCAAGGCCTGTATGGTGTCATCTGTGCTCTGAGGCAGCATCTCAATCTGGGGATCCTGTGTTCTAGTTTACCACATGGCATAGAACTGAAACAGATGACCAGCAGGCTTCAGTGACATTGAAGGGAGAAGAGCAACACAAAAGAAGATGGCCAGATAACTCCAGGCTGTGATTGCCACTGGCCAACTACACCATGCCAGTGGGACAAAGGAGGCAAGGACCTCTTAAGACACAGGGACCAGATGCCTCAGCATTCTCTGGGGAAGCATGATGTGCAGGTGCATATACATGTGATTCACTGTAAGGATCTGGCTCTCGGCATCATGGAGGCTGGAAGGCCCCACCCTCTCTGGGGTAGGCTGGCAGAGACAGACCTCGGGGAGCTGATGTCCAGCAAGTTCCAGTTTCACTTCAAGTAAAAGGCAGGAAAAAGGTGATTTCCCAGCCCTGATGGCCATCAAGTAGGAAGAGTTCTCTCACTTGGGCAGGGTCAGCCTTGTAGTGTGTGGGCCATCAGCAGGTGGCCCACTCATGTTTGGAGGGCAGTCTTCTTCCTATAACTGTAACCCAAGAAATAGTCTGGAAGAGACCAGTGAGGTTAGCCCTCATTTTGTGGGTAGGAGTAAGAGTGGGAACAGGC